TTTTTATTGCTGTTTTTTATAAATGAAAAGATGGATTGTTCTCAGGTGAAGGTGGAGTTACCAAACTCACCGTCTCTGATGCAAAGAGAAGGAACTGAAGAAGCTCGTATAAGTCCAAAGAAGATGGAGGTATGCAATGGTTACCATTTGCTCTTAAGAGAGTAATTTTTAGTACTGAAAAAAAATTGTTTTTTGTAAAGGTCATTTTTACATTGAGGATTTTATAATACCCTATATGATTCCACTGCTTAAGAAATGTATGTACATGTTCTCGTTTTCATTGTAATATTCGATGATCGGATGTGATCAGGAGCTTGTGTCGTTTCGATGTTTGGTCAGGTGTTTTCGTTTGATCAAGTTTTGCTAAGACAATGAGCCAAAAAGAAACTTTGGGAATAATAATGTCACATTCATCAATAATGCAAGCCAAGTATCTCTTCATATCTGTTCAAATGGAAATCTTAAACAAAAGTTGTTGTTAAACCCCACACCATTTTCTATTAATGTTTCTTTCTTTTTCCTCTTATTCATGTGATTTGAATTTTTCCACATTAAATTGTTCGTCTACAGTAATAAATGTTGTAAAATAAAACCAAGTTAATACTACATTCTATGACATATACTCGTTGGAGAATTAAATATGTAAAAGAAAGCAAAAATAAGTTTACTCGGGCACTATAAATAAAAGCGTATCCGTATCCCTAATTCGGATAATTCCCAAATGTTGACTTTTGTCACTTGTAACAAAGATGCTATTTTTTTTATAGTAACTGCCAAATTATTTTGAAAATTGTGGATGACTCTGGATTAGATTGAATAAATATCTAATGTTCTTATAGACATATTCCTTCCATTTCAAAATAATTATCATTTTGAAGTTTTTCACACGAATTAATACAGTATTTTATTTGATATGAATAATTAATAAAGTTAAAAATAGGGATAAAAATAGAAAAATTGGTAATAAATATTCACTAAAATTACAGAATCACAAGTAATATGAAACAAAAAATTAAGGCTAGAATGACAACTATTTTAAAACAGAGGGAGTATATTGTTTTGATTTATAAAAAGGGAATTTGTTTTGGTTAATTATGGAAATAAATTTATCAACAATTTCACCATATTGCATATTTGCAGGTTTTTTGATAAATGTAGTTATATGTTATTGGTAAAAATATATTGTATATTTGAATATCATGGAAGTGTAGTAAATACAGTTGATCTACTCTGGTATGTGTTACATATGATATACTAGTGATTGTCACGCGTTGCGTGAAAT